CGCCGGAGGCCGCCCCGGGATGGGGGACACAGGCAGCCCCATGCGCTGGGCTTTGCCCCTGTGTCCCGCTGGAAAACCGTCGGGAACGGCTTGCCACGGTGCCGGTAGCCAGCGCCGTGTCTATTTTTAGCCCTCGTGCTGTAACCCGGTGGCTTTGATCCTCCCGGCCCGCCTCCTGCCCCCTCCTTCTGTTTGCTCCCTCTCCACGGCGCCCTTTTCCATTCGGGAACGCACAGGTGGCAGGTTGCTGCTCCGCTGCCCTTTTCCTGCCTTCCCAGGCTTGCTCTGTGCCTGGTTTTTCCCCGTGGAGGGTTGGGAATGGGGCTGTGCAGCCTGGGAGCGTGGTGGTGCCGTGGGAAAGCCGCCCTTCCAGGCGGGATGGGGGCTCGCCAGGCTGGGATGCGCCCAGCACGGGTGATGCTCCCATTCCCGTCCTTCATCCGCTGCGAACACAGCAGCGCTGGCGTGTCCAGCTGCCACATCCCGAGGCAGGATGTGGGCGCATCCAAGGGCCCGCTCCAGCGGGACTGCATGTGCCTAGAGAGCCGGGAACGCCGCAGGATGCTGTGCAGGAGCACCGGAGCCGGGAATGTCGTGCGGACCATGGGAAAACCAGTTCTGCCCGTAGCAGCAGGGCTGATGCCCACGGAGCCAGTGGGATTGAGGCCTCCGGGGCCGCTTTGGTGCCGTAGGTCATCTCCAGATGGGATGGAATGGGATGGAATGAGATGGGAGCTCCGGCTGCTGATCCCGTGCAGCAAAGCTGCATCCCGCGAGGAAGACGTGGGATCGCGGCTGGCGTCCCGGGACACGGGGATGCTGCGGAGCGGAGCCCCCCGGAGCAGCCCGAGCTGGGAGCAGTGGAGCCCAGGCTGGAGCCGGGCTGGCCTTTTTGGTGTATTTTGGGTTAAACCCGCCCTTTTTCGAGGGAGGGCGGAGGACACTTGGAGCACGTGCTCGTGCATCGCTTTGGGCCAGGAAACCTGATTTGATGCTTTTCCGCTGTGCAGAGGAAGGCGAGAGCCAGCAGGACCAGGTGGGAAAAGGCCCCAAGGCCTCGTGGTGCCTCAAAATGCCGCTTATTACAAACAAAATAGGAAAAGGTGACAAATGGCCCCAACCTGCAACTCCATCAATTTATTATTATTATTATTATTATTATTATTATTATTATTATTATTATTATTATTATTTTTCCCTTTTTCCCCGTTTTTCCCAGCCCGCGTCCCGTGACCGCCTCTTGCCTCCTGACTCAGGAGTTTCTTGTGCTCGCCAGAGCCCGTGTCCCGCTCGGTGCTTTTATCGGGAAAGTTCAAGTGCGGCGGGCGGGTAATAACGTTCCCTCTTCCGACGGCGGCGGCGGGCGGCAAAGGCTCCTCATTGTTCCCGCGGCCGCGTGTTTTTTCGGAAGGGCCGCGAGGAATGCGGCCGCCGACCTTGGGCTGCACTGGGGTTAAGGAGTGTGCACCAGTGACTCACTCCCGATAAGCGCCTTCCCCGGCTTTTTTTTTCCTTTTCCCTCCTCCAAAATAATCCTTTATCTCCCCTTTCTCACATCAACATATTTTCTTGACATCTCCCACGCGGGAGGCCAAGCGCTTCCACGCCGGCCGCGGGGCAGCGCGATGCCCGTCCGGCTTGACCCGCTGGCCGCTCTCTCCCTTCTCCCCGCAGCTTCCCCCCTTTTCCCGTGGTTTTTCCCAAGCGGGAAGCTCCTCCGTCTCCCAGCCGAGGCCTCTGGCTCCCGGCGCGGCTCCGATGATAATGCGGAAAGTTGAACTGGCCCCATTACTGCGCCGCGATGGTTGCGCCGATAAAGCGCCGATAATGGCAGCGATAGCGGCGGCTCGGTAGCCAATGGCTCCGCCGCTCCTCCCATTAACATTCCCCACCACGGATCGGCTCGGAGCTGCCTATCTGCTCTCCATTTCCACTCCTCCGCTAGATAAGAATGGAAATACTGACTTCATAGCTCACTGATTAAAGTGTCTGGATTTCTTGATAATACACAGATAAATTATGTTTTTCAAAAAGAAGGTAGGGAAGGGAGTGCGAGGGGAGGGAAAAAAACGCCAGTCTTTTTTTTTTTTTTTTTTTTTTTTTTTTTTYTCTTCCTGCTGCTTTTTGCTCCTTTTCCTTCTTTCTTGCAATGCCCCGTGGTTCTCCTGGTGAGAAATGCCCTTCCCCGACTGCGTTGGGGACCGTGGGGACGGGAATCTGTTGTCCCGCTGTGGGCAAGCCTGGGCTTCCCAGCACGGAGGGTTTCTTGGGAGCCATTGGTGCATCCCCAAGGATGCTCCACACATGGGAATGAGGAAGCTCCGGGCACCTCCGTCTGCTCCAGGCTTGGGGATGCCCAAGGCTCCGTGCCCGCTTGCCCTCAGCAAGCCCATGGGAGCAACTGGAGCCACCCTGTCACCTGCCACACACAGGTGGCACCTCCTAAAAATCGCTTTTCTCCTGCTTACTTTATTGCTTTCCTTAATTTTAATTTAAATTGAGCTGCTAAATGATCCTTCTGGGAGGACACAGGGCCTGCAGACCCTTAGGTTCCTTGCGCTGGAGAAGGCATTGCCCGCAAAGCAACAAAACCCCAAGTTTCTTTCATCTAAATACAAAACTAAAGAGCAAACAGTATAAAGTTCATTTTTTTTAATGTGTTGCCCCATTCCAGTTGGGCTGTTCTCTTTATTTTATTTTTTTTTTAAAGGAACTGTGATAAAAAGCAACGATAAAGCCAGGACTGTTTTGTGTAGGAGTCTGTATCTGTGTTATCTATCTCCCTTTTTCACTCTCCGAGCAGCTCTGTTGTTTTTTACTCTTATCTCGCTCCACCAAAATGCCAAGAACAGGAAAAAAAAAAAAAGAAAAAAGAAGAAGAAAGAAAGAAAAAAGCAAAAGCAAAGGCGCGCGTTTGCACAGACCCAAACTCGGAGGAGCTGGGGCAGAAATGCGGCCACGAGTTTGGCAGCGAGGGAAATATTGGGATTGTGGGACACTAAGCGGAGCCTTTTCCCTGTCCTGCCCTTCCCTGCTTCCTTTCATCCCTGTAATGAGTTGTGGATGGTCCTGGCATCCCCGTCTCGCACTGGTGGCACCAGGATGGGGCCGGCTGTGTGCGCCAGTGGGGCCGCATTTCGATAGGAGACGGGAATGACTTTATTGCGTTTTTGGACAAAAAGTGGTGGAGTGGAGGATTTTTCCCCTTGGGAAGCCCCATCTCCAAGCTTTGGGATGTGAAAGCAGGATGGCATTAAAACCCCTCACGGTTCTTTCCTCCCGTCTCCATTAGCCTCCCTCCACTCTCAAAATCCATGGGTGCCTTATGGGTCCCCGGGGCCGCGGGCGCTATTATATATATGTGTATATATATATAAAAATATTATATATATAGCATTAGCGGGCGCCCCCCCATCGGAGCGCGCCAATCTGCTGTAATCTATCAGCGCCTTATCGGGGCTATCTGCGGGGCGGGAGCGGCGGGGCCGCCGGTGGCGCCGCGCTCGGCCGCTGATAAAGTTACCGCGCTCGGGCGCGGATGAATGTCAAGGGAGCGCAGCCCGCGCCGAGAGCGGCCGCGCTTGGCAGCGCCCGCGGCTCCGGCTGAAACCAATCTCCCCGCTATCAGCACGGCTGCTTTTTCTCAGGCTCGGCCGCTCCTTGGCTTTTGCTGTGGCCGGGGGCCCCGCCGGGTTTCGGGGATGCTCCGGCGCCCCGAGGGCACCGCGCGTTTATCGGCGCGATGGAGCCGGGCGCCTCGGCGGGCGCAGATAGGGCCCGGCCGCGGCGCTATCGGCCCCGTGCACCGGGGGGGATGCTGCAAGGGCTGATAGCGGCGCCGAGGGGCGCCCGGTGCCCGGGTGCTGCTGCGGAGCTGCGCGCGGGCTGATAGCGGCGGGCGGCGCATCCCGCATCGCGCCCGTCACCCTGGTATTGCCCCTGCTCTGCACTGAGCCCCTTGCCTTGCTCGGTCGCGCTCGCCCCTTTTTGCAGCCCGAGCCCCTGCTCTGCACTGGGCACGTGGAGCCAGCCCTGCCGTGTCGTTTTGGGGTCCTGGCTTATCCCGTACCCCACCAAATCCGTAAAAATTTGTAGCAGCCGCAGTGGCCTGAGCGCCGTGTGGTGCCGATGGGCGAGATGGGCTGGGTCGCTGGAGCACTGGGAAGCCCGGCCAGGATGAAGCCAGGCCAGGATGATGCACTGTACGCCGGAGCCGCAGCCCGAGGCTGCCGCAGGTGCCGCGGGATTTGGGGCATCCGAGGCCGCCCGGAGCGTCGGCTCCCGGAGAGCCTCCACGGCAGGAGGGCAAGCTGGGCACGAAGCGCCAGCCGCGATGCCGTCGGATACTGCGGGGTTTGGATCATCCCGGAGCCTGGCTCGTGCCCACGTTGCCCTGGCTGGCAATTGCTATGGGAAGGCAAAGCCCAACCCTGTTACGAGGCCCCGGAGAAGTCACCATGGCAGAGCCAGCAGGGAAGGAAAGGGAAACGGAGAGGGTAGGAGCGATCCCGGAGCAGGGCCGTGGCTCGGAGCACCAGTTCGCACCCTGCAGACCTGCGGGAAGCCTGGCCCTCATGCCTTTATTTGTTTATTATCAAATTAACGGTTATTTATTTATTTCCTTTAAACGAAGGCCTCTTCCTTTCGGCCAGGGGCGGCCCTGCTCCTCCTCCCGCCTGATCCGCTGGGAAAGTCCGAAGCTGTTGCTATTTTCTATCTGCTCGCGGGGCCGCTTATCGCCGTGCGCTCGCCTGCGTGCCGGCTCCGGGAGCTCCAGGGTCTCCCTCCGGGCAGCCTGGAAAAATCTCCCCCCTCCCCCTCTTTTTATTTTTTTCCCTTTTGTTTAATTATCCAAACACGTGGGAGGAATCACAGTGTGTTGGTCCCGGGTTGGAGCGCCATGCTCCGGTGCCCCAACGCGCTGGAGCCTCCGGGTGTGGAGACAGGGATGGGATTCGCCCCGGGCACAAGGATCCTCTCCAAGGGCAGTGGTCTTGGGAATGGGGGTCCTGCTGAGCCGGGAGCAGCCCCGGGGCCTCCAGCATCATCGGGAAGCAGATGCTGACCCGCTCCCTGCGGATGCAGGAGGAGATGCTGGTAGGATCCCACTGCGGATTCAGGTGGTGGGACTTGGTTACCCCATTCCCAGCACAGTGGCTCCAAGCAATAGGGCGGCACTGGATGATATTTTGGGATAACACAGATGTGGATACGGGATTGGGCTCTTCAGGATGCTGCCGGAGACGGGGCTAGAGGTGCCGGAGCAGAGCCAGGGTCCCCGCTTTTCCCCGCTCCCTCCCGGCAAATGCCGCGCTCGGATCCCGGCGGCACCCGCCTGGCCGGGCACATCCGCAGATCGCAGCAAGTTTTTACAACCGCTGTAATCTGAAAAAAAATCCTCCCTTGTTATCAAAAAAAAAAAAAAAAAAAGGCACGAGCAGGCAGGAGGGAGGGAGAAGAGTTAATCGTCTAAGCGGAGGATCTCGGAGCGGAGCGTTTTTTGGCTCTTCCCCTCTCTGTAAAGCCAGCCTCAGTAATTCAGTTTTAAAGCATGAAAAAAGGGAGTTGATGAAATTCCGCTATCAGCACTGAACCAATATGCAAAATATCTCGCCGAAAATCAAATAGCTATTATGTTTTCATTTCCATTTCGGCGTATTTGCTTAATGAAGAATAGACAGATCAGGCAAGCCGAGGGAGGCTGTGTGAGGTGATAACTGTGCGAGGCTTCCAGCAATCCCGGAGAAATGACGCTCCGCTCCCTGCTCCAGCTCGCTCTCCCTCTCTCTCTCTTTTTTTCCCTTTTTTTTCCTTTTTTTTACAGGCTATCCAGGAGTTGGTTTAACCCACAGAGTCGGGAGCGCGGTGGCTGCCGGGGCTCCGCAGCATGGGCACATCCTCAGGGATGGAGGGGGACAAGGATGCAGGGATGGGGATGCGGATGCTGGGATGCCAATACTGGGATGGGGCACGAGCTTGGGGGCCACCAGGACCCCCCCTTGTCCCCGTGGGGCACCCCGCCTGTGTCCCCAAGCCTGTATCCCTGCCGCCCCATTCCCAGCAGAGCAAAGAGAACCGGGAAGGAGGCGAGAGTCGGGTTAACTTTATCAGGAGCCCGAGAGCCGTGAAGGCGTGAAGGGAAAAATTAGCCTAACAATGTTTCATTTACGGCGAGCGAAGCGATTTGTTAGCGGCCGATTGTTTCTGAATATTATCAGGGCCTTTTTAATTGTGCTGGAACTGAAATTAGCAGAATTAGAATAAATTGCCTCCGCTGCTCCGGCAGCCTCTTTCTCCACGCTCATTGTTGTCGTCTTTGTCTCGATTACGGCGCCTTTGTTCTGCCGCTGTAAATATCCCCGCCTGGAGTCACGGCGAGGCTGCGGCGCCCGCGCCCCCCACGCCCCGGCCCCCGCGCCCCACCTTATATATTTCTTGAAAATACTCACGTCTCATGGGCTTTTAAGGGCTTTGGGTCTGCTCGGCCAAGGGATGCTGCATTGACGTGGAGATGGTGGCGCTGGGGCGTTTTTGGGGACCGCAGCACTGGGTGGCTCGTGAGAGGCTTCGCTGGGTGCCCTATTGGGAAAATTAGCCCTAAACCCCGTGTTTGCCCCCAAAATGTTTCCCTCGATGATGCACAAATCGGTGCCCCGCGAGCTGGTGAACGCAGCAGTAAAAGCCGCCTGGTTTGGAGCTGCCCAACGGGGACAAGGGCTCGGGGAGGGTGTCCCCATCCCGGGCTGGACGTGACGGCGAGCCAGCGGGGTGACGCTTCCCGGGGCTGTGCCGAGAGGCAACGTGACCGTCCCTTGTGTTCCGCAGGTTCCTTGGGAGAGATGGAGGACGGCGAGGACGCGGCGGCGGGCGAGGCCAGCCCCTCGGCGAGGGAAGGGGCCGCCTCGGACCGCGAGGGCTCCTCCGAGCGCGACGTGCCCAGCCCCGACGGCGACCCGCGCCGCGAGCTGCCCGGTGAGCCCGGCGGGATGAGCACGCGGATGGGCATCCATGTGGGCTGCTTGCAGGCGAGCCTGGCTGCAGGGGATGTGCAGAGGGAAGGTGGCCTGGATGCCCTGCAATGCCGCATGGTGCAATGCGGCATGGCACAATGCAACAGAGCATGAGGCAATGCAATACAGTGCAACATGGCACATTGCAGCATGGCATGGTGCAGTGTGGCATGGCACAATGCAACACAGCATGGTGCAGCGCAATACAGTGCAACATGGCACATTGCAGCATGGCATGGTGCAATGCGGCATGGCACAATGCAACACAGCATGAGGCAATGCAATACAGTGCAACATGGCACATTGCAATGTGGCATGGCATGGTGCAACATGGCACTGTGCAACAAAGCATGATTCAACATGGCACGGCACAGTGCAGTGTGGCATGGCACAACATGGCATAATGCAGCATGGAATAGCGCAGTGCAACATTTCATGATGCAGTGTGGCGTGATGCAATGCAGCATGGCATGGTGCAACATGGCACAGGACAGTGCAGCGCTGCACAGTGCAACATGGCATGGCACGGTGCAATGCAACGCAGTGCAACGTGGCACGATGCAACGTGGCACGATGCCACGTGGCACGATGCCACGTTGGCATGGCACGATGCCGCATGGCACAATGCAACGTTGGCATGGCATGGTGCAGCATGGCATTATGCAGCGCAGCATGGCACGGTGCAGCGCGGCACAACCAGCCCGCTGTCTGCGAGCCGCCGGCGCCCGCCCCACCCCGGGGGTGGCTGCATTTCAGGGCCGGGCCGAGCCGGTTCCTAGATATCCTCCCGGTTCCTTCCTGTGGAGGTGGGGGCAAATCCTAACCCGGTTAATGTTTGCGGCGCCCTGCGAGATAACGGGCGGCGGGGCAAGGCCGGGGCGGCTCCGGGGAAGCGCCGGTTTCCTTCCCTCCCCATAGCCCCCCAAAAGCGGCACCCCGGGCGCTGGGGCGAAACGGCGCTGGGTGCAGGGCTGGGGGCGCGGGCGCTGGGAGCCCCGGCGCGGAGCTGCACCTGGCACTAACCCGCTTTGATAAAAAGGTGATAGCAGAGATAACGGCAGGCAGCAATAACGGCCACTAAAGCTTTCAGCGCGATGGATAAAAATCAATATGCCAGGCACTTTGATTTATAGCCAAAAATAATAGGACTTTTATACCCGGTGATTGATTTATTTGATGTTAATCATTCCGCTTATCACCTGTATTAATAATCTCCAATGCCGGTGACGTCACCCCTGGGTGTTCTCTATGGCGCCTATCGATTGGGCTCCGCTCCGGTTATCCGCCCGGGACGCGAAGGCAAACATGTACTTTGGGCGCTAATCTTCCACACTGTCATATGCAGATAGGCCCTTATCAGCCCCATCTCGAACAGCAGCTAATGGGGAAAATAATTGTTATCAAGTTGCTACGAATGCGCCCCAAATAGTGCGGTGCCGGGCACGGGCCGGGGGTGCCGGGACCCTCCCATGCGGGGACAAGTGTGGGCGCAGTTTTGGGCTTGAGGTTCGGCCCTAAATCGCATCCCGGCTCCGGGGCTGCATCCGAGGGCTCCCATGTGTGACCTTCCCACTCTCGCTGCAGAGGCAGAGGCTAAAGAGGCCCCGGAGAGTCCGAAGGAGCCGGAACAGCAGGATCCGGGAGAAAGCGCCGCGGAGCCCGCCTGGAGCGGGCCAGGTGAGTGCCCCATTCCCCTGCCCTCCCGCGGACACTGGCACGAGCCCGGCGTGGGCACGCGGTGCACGGGCATGGCGAGGGCTCCCTCGGGAAGGCACCGTGCGCGGGGCCAGTGGCATCCGCACGGGAACGCGGAGCGGGGAGACGGGAAGGGCCGGCGCCCGCGGCTCCCCGGGCGCACCGATAAGCCGCGGGCGACCGCAGGGCGATGCCTATCGACGCCCCAAGCAGCGAGCGAGGCGTCTGGCAGCGTCGCGAGTGGCACGGACGGCGTTCCGGCCCGCGCGCAGCCGTGGCAGCGGCAGCCGCTCTATCCCGGTGGGTTTTCCCTGCCTTTCCTCCCTGCGGATGGGACGGGAAGGGGCGCCCTGGATGCGGGTGGGCTCGGGCTCTGTGTGCATTCCGGCGCTCGGGAAGGGCCGGCTGCCAGGGCACGTGTGCCGGCGGCAGCCGAGGCCGGAGCAGGATGCGCGGGAAGGAGAGGCCGCTGGGCAGCGGAGCGCCGGGAAGCGCGTGCCGGCCCCACTGATATCCCGGCCCTTCCGGGAGGCCGCGGCAGGAAGGAGCCGCCGCTCGCGCCTCCTCATCCGCTCCCAGCCCTTTGCCCCCACGTCCCCATGCCGGGTGCCCTGCCGGCATTCCCAAGCCATTCCCGGCAGGAGCTTCCTGCAAGCTCAGCCCCGTGTTGCACCATGCACAACCCCATTGCAACAACCGCCGGGATGAGGCAACACCCCCCGAAACAGCCCAGCCTCCCCTTCCCCCTTCCCTCGGCCCAGTTAGTTATTTGCATTCCTTATGTAAAAGAGATTTTTATTATCGCCTCCTGCCAGCCCATCTCTATTCTGGTAATTGGAGTGGTATTAATTTCGGTGTGGCGGGGAGTTGATGGCGGTCCGGCGATGCTGCAGCGATAGGCTGTTCCTCCCGCGCTAACCGCCGCGATAGCCCGTCTATCAGGCGCGCTGCAGGCTCGGCACTTATCAGGGATGGAGCTGGCAAAAAGGGAAACTCTGCGCAGCCGGAATTTTCGGCTTTATCTGGCAGGATCCGCCGTATGTCAGCACTGGCAGCGGGATGGGGGGGCTGCGTGGATGCCGCTCGCGGCCTCCCTTTGTGCAGCGAGTTGCGCGCGTGCTCAGCCCGGATGCACCTGGGGCTCTCCGGGGGTTTTCTCCAAAGTGGGGGTTGTGATTCCTCGTGGCTTGTGTTGTGTTTTGGGGTGATGCCGGGAGCTGGGCAGAGGGGCTGCGCCGGCCTCGAGGTGCGTGGAGGAGCAGGAGGGTGTTTTTATCTTTGAAATGACCTTGCTCACGGAGGGGCTGGCGGCCTCAAGTTCTGATATGCAAATAGCTGATAGCCATAATCTGTAATCCTCGGCTTGGGAGCGTTGCAGATGGACCGGGCCGGCCGCTCGCCTCCCGCTCGGGCACCCGGTGAGCCGGGAAGGGGCTGGTTACAGGAGCGGGATGTGCATCCTCGGTGCCCTCCATCCCGCTGCCAACCTCTTCCAGCGGGGACCCCGTAGGGCCTGTTCCCTGGGGTGCTCTCGTGCGCTCCCAAATCCAGCCCAATTCCCTACTGGAATTGGAGACAGCGGGGATCGATGGGCTCGTAGCTCTGCCGTGGATCTCGGCACCGGCTTTCCCGCATCCTCCTGATCCCTTCTGCTCGCTTGGGAGCCCGGTGGAGATGCAGAGGCGCTCGGGGCAGCGTTTGGGACGTGCCGCGGAGTGTCCTCGCGGCTCCACGCGCCGCTCAGCCGCGTGCCGCCACGCGCGCGAGGCCCCGCGCGCACCACGGCCGCCCGACAGCGATCGGCCGCCGCGCCAAAGCAGCCCTATCGCCTGCCCACATCCCGCCCGGCGGCCACCGCCGCTCCCTGCCAGGTAGCCCAGACCCGGGGCACCCCTCTGGGCCCGAAAACGGCGCTGCAGAGAGCTCTGCACCCGGTGAGGGCTGCACGGGGCGCCCGCACCGCGCTCTGCCCCGTGCAGAGCCGCTGCCAGCCCCGTGCCAGGGCTGGGGAAACTTCCTTTGCTCCCTTGCGCCTCCCCCTTCCCGTTCGCCCGCCGCGCTCGTTCCGTTGTGTTTATCGGCGCCGCGACTCCTGTCTCAATAATCTCTCGGCGCCCGGAGTTTGTGTGCAAACCTCAAGGTTTATTATCGGGGCGAGCAGGGCACGGCGAGGAGGGACAGCTCGTCCCGACGGGCGCCCCGCGCCAGATCTGCCCGATTGCGCCGGCCCCACCGCGCGCTCTTATTTTTTCCCCCTTTTTCCCTCGGCTTTGGTATGTGTGGGTGGGAGAAATTATTCCAGCTATTCCTCGTTATCGCTCGGAGCGGGGCCGAGCCGTGGGGAGGTGTTTGCTGCGGAGCGGCGCGCTCGGCACGGAGGGAACGTGCGGGTCCCCAGGGCGTGGGGGTGCTCTCCTCGGATCGCAGGGTCCCCACGTGTCCTGGTCCCCATTGGGGCGAGCGCCACGTGGAAAAGGTCCACGTGTGAAAAGCAGCGTCTGGCCAGGACGGTGCCAGCAGGGTTGGTGACATCCCTGTCCCCACCTAGGGGCTGCAAAGGGGACCCTGGCCCTGAGATCACCACCTGCAGGGTCCTGGTGAGCCCTGGGCTGGGGAACGCTGCTGGGATGGAGGGAAGCGAGGGCCAGTTTGGGGACAGCACTGGGATGGAGGGATGCCAGGACCGGTATGGGGACACTGCTGTGCTGGAGGGATGCTGGGACCCGTTTGGGGACATGGCTGAGATGGAGGGATATGGGAGCTGATGTGCCTGGATGGAGGGATGCGGGGGCTGGTCTGGGGATGCTGCCAGGTGGGGCGATGCCATTGCCGGTGTGGGGACATTGCTGAGACGGAGGGACGTGGGGCTGGTGTCGGGACACTGCTGGGATTCTGGGGCCAGTTTGGGGCCAGCACCAGAATGGGAGGCTGCTCAGGCCGGCCATTCCCGTGGGGCAGCAGCGATGTCCCCATGTGTGCCATTGGCACCGCGGGGAGGCGCGGGCCGAGTCCCCCTCTCCGTCCCCATCCCTCCTTCCCCGGGGAGCCCCAAGCTGGGCCGCCCGCTCCGTGGTGACTGACAGCTGCCAATCACCCCGTGCTCGCGCTCAGCCTGGCGCTGCCGCCTGCGCGCGCGGCGGGACCCCCTCCCCGCTGCGGTTTCCCCCTCCCCTTTTCCGGACGGGATATCTCCCCCACTCATCGTATCTGGCCAGCGGCTCCGGGCCCCTTCACTCCGCTTCCTCCTCCCGCCCGGCTTCCTGCACGGCCCCGCTCCTGCTGGAGCCGGCGGCCCGTGCCCGGGATGGGGCTCAGCAGAGCCCTCGTGTCCCCATCCCGCCGGGGTCCGGCTCGGGCACCTGCACCCTCAGGAGCCTCCAAGTTCTCCCACTTTGCGCCCACTCTGTGTTTCTAATTCCATTCCCAGTGCTTATTTCCCCCCGGTGTGCTGAGCACGCCGCTCGGTGCAACAAAGAGCCCCCGGTCGCCGGGGTCTGATCATATCCTGGCCAGGAGGGCACGCGCGGAGCGCAGCAATGAGCCGCGATAGCATCTCGCAGCGGGGCCGCGCGCATTGTCTGCACCGAACGGGTGGGCGCCCGCCTTCCTCCCGGCGCCGCGCTCTCCTCCTCCTCCTCCTCGCCCTTTCCTGCTCTCCACGGCAGGCAGCGACACCCTCAATGCAAACGGCCGGGGAGCGGGCGGCTTATCGGGACGCATCCGCGGGGCGCATCGCGCAGCGCCACGTGGCCGCCCGCCCATTTGCCCCGGTGCCGCGGGCACCGCCTTCGCCCCGGGGGCCCCCGCGGGAAGCGCCCGCCTCGCCGCCGCGCGTAGCTAACAGCTCCTCCATTAAGCGGGGTCAGGGTTCAGCGCGATAAAGATTTGCTGTTGTACTGAGTCAAGAAATCAATAAATCGCAAGCGATGGTTGGCAGCGATAAGGGCCACCGCGCGCTCCCCTCGCCTGCCGGCCCGCGGCCCCGTGCGCGCCAGTCCTGCCGGAGCAGGGAGCGATGGCGGGAGCGGGGCCGGGACTCCGGCCGTGGCGGTGTTGGGATGAGAGCCCCTGTCCCGCATGGAAGGGCCACTTTGCTCTCCCCTCTCCAGCGGCATCCACGTTTGCCCCCTGCCCTCATCCCCCTGGCACCGAGCAGCAATGGAGCTGGCCTGGGTGCTGCCGCTGTTCCCAGAGGATGCTCCGGATCCCGGATCCCGCCGCAGCGCATCCCATGGGCTCCATCCCCATGTGCCCCCTGCCCGCTGGTGCCCGCTGCGGTGCCAGCCCTGCTTGCTCCTTTGTTGTTCCCAAGGCTGCCCTGATTACTCGAGCACCCGGGACGGCAAAGCCGGGATAATCTGCTTAGCCCCTTTGGAGAGATTTCCCTTTGTGCGCCGAGGTGAAGAGTGGAGATGCTGCGTGTTTGCAGCTTAAGACTCTTCCCAATCGGCTCCCTCCATCTTATCGGAGCGGTGCCATCACATCATTGCGCTAGTTGAGTTGTCAGGATTTATTCCTTCCGCCTCGCGTTAGCAGCTGCTAAAAACAGAAGCCGCGGTGGGTGGGTGGGTGTCCGTGCGGCGCGGGGGCCCCGACGCGGGGACCCCCCACCCCAGGGCACACAGCGCGTTTGGGGTCTGTGCATCATCTCAGCCCCACGCTCCGGGGCTCTGCAAGGCAGGACGAGGGGGTTGTGTCCCTGGGATCCGCTGCCAGCGCTGCTGCCCGTGTCCCTTGTCCCCTCCATGGCACCGGGGGCCGGCGCGGAGGAGCGCGCGGTGCCGCGCGCGCTGGGGAGCGGGCGCATGACTCCCGATAGCAGTATTTATCCAGATAGTATCCAGGCAGCTGCAAACACGCCGGGGCCCTCGAATCTGCGATCCCTGCGGAAGGGCAGCTCCGATGCCTGGCGGTGATTAACATCCTGGGAATGGGTTTGGGGAGAGCATAGGGAAGCCCTGGAAGTTGGAGGCTGTTGGAGACGGGGTGTCCTGCCCTCGGCCTGGGATGGACCCCAGCTGGGCTTGGAGGCCACTGAGCTCGGTGCGAATGGGTCCGGTGGCCGTGGGCCAGTGCGCGTGGCCGGGGCAGCCGCTGCCTTCCCGCCGGCTTTTGCCTGCATGTTCCAAGGCCTGTGCACCTGGAGAGGGAGCTCGTGTGCGGCTGTGCAGCTGTGCGCATGTGCACGCAGCTGGGCGCATGTGCATGCAGGTGCGCGCATGCGGCTGTGTGCATGTGCATGTAGGTGCATGCAGGTGCATGCAGGTACGCGCATGTGGCCACGTGCGTGTTGATCTAGGTGCATGCATGTGCATGCAGGTGTGTGCCTGTGGCCACATGTAGGTGCACGTATGTGCACACACATGCGCTTCTGCATAGAGACCCCAGGGCAGCCAGGAGCCAGCCCGCGGCACCGCTGCAGCGGGTGGCACGTCCTCACCTACACTGTTTATTACCTACCTTTCCTACACTGTTATTACCAAGGTCTTGAGGGCGGTTTTGGTCACTGGCAACCGTGGTTGTGCAGCCGTCGGGGTCCCTGCAGGGGAAGAGGCGATGCCGAGCCCAGCCCGTGAGCCCCCGTGTGCCCGGTCCCTGCTCTTGACCCGCTCGCTGCCCTCGTGTCCGGTGGCGCTTTGCAGTGTGCGTGGTCCTTACTACCGTGGAGCACCAGGGTTGACCCTGGGGCTTTGCTTGCCCCTCGGGAGCTGGTGTGGGAAGCACATGGCCCCGTGCAGCCCGTGCCCAGACCCCTTGGCGCCGGCACCGCCGCGATCTGTGCCCGCTGCCCACCCCGGCGTTCCAGGAGGCAGCTCGGATGGCAGCCGAGCCTTTTTCTCTTCCATTTATCAGCCGATAAATGGCAGCAGTGTGATGACAGGATTAATCTTTGCTCTCCAGCAGAGCTCAGGCTATTTCTTTGAAATCTCTTGATGAGGAGATAAGTGCAAAGCGCTGTGCCGAGGTGAGCGAGTGCGGTTATCCCACGGGCAGGAGTGAGGATGTCGGGAAGTGGGAAGTGGTCTGAGCACTGGGTGACTCTGGGGAGACCCAGGTGGTTCCAGGGCGCCCCGAACAGCTCCAGGGAGACCTGGGCAGCTTGGAACTTGCTGCCTCCAACCGCTGCGCGTTCCAAGGCGGATGCATCCAGGGGCCGGCTCCCCGCCACCCTCTATGACCCCTGGATGCCTCTGCAAAGCTCATCAGGGCCGGGCTGCCGCAGGGATAGGAGACCTGGGTCTTGCAGTGCTCATGGCAGACCCTCCCTTTCTGCACTGCACCCCTGCCTCTTGGCAGCACCCGCAGCCTTTCCTTAGGGATGCTGCCAAGCCTAGATCCCGCGCTCAGGATGCTTTCCCATCTTGCCGTTTCATCCCAGCTCCCCGGGCACCTCGGCTACCGGCAGCACCACGGCGAGGCCGGGACACCTCGTGCGCCTCTGCAGAGCCCTGCAGCAGGATGCAGAGCTGCAGCCCGCACGGAGCAAAGGGCAGGCGCGGGGGGACGGCAGGTGCACCCGGCCGCTCTGCTTTCCTCCCCTTCCTTCCTTTTTTTTTTTTTTTTTTTGCTGCTTTTCTTTGCAATCGAAAGCAAACAGCCCCGATCCCTGCCCAATTTGGTTAATGATCTCGGAGATAGGAATTCCTGCGATAACTCCCGGGCCGACTGGCAGGCCGGAGCCAATGGGGTGCCGCCTCGCCGGGAAGCGATGGCGAGATTAGATAAGCGGGAATTGTATTAACCTGCGGGGCGGTGAAAGCGAGCGCCGGTGTCGCCGCTCGAGGCTGCGGCGAGGGCAGCCCCTGCGCGGGAGCGCGCGCGGACTTTGCTCCCGGCGCCAAGCGCATGCGGAGAGCCCCGCGCATGGTGCTGCTGCTGCCTCCCCGCTCACATCCGAAACCCGGAGGATAAAAACGTGCCCCAGCTCCGAGGTCCCTTAGGAGCTTTCCTAAGCCGGCCGGAGAAGGGGGATGCAGCACGTGTTTCTTTTGGAGTCGCCGCGCGCCTCCTATCCAGGAGCTGCTGCTGCCTCCGCATCCTGCTCCGGGACGGAGCCGGCCCTGGCAGCGCGCCGGGGCCCGAGCGCCCGCGGGGCGGCCGCCGCCGCACTATTTTTGTCCCCCTGTCGGGAACGGTTTTCTCTTTATCAGCGCCTGTGTGTTTTCTCTGCTGGGGATTGATACGCCGAAGATGAAGTGCTCTGACATGGGAAGTGTCAGGCGAACGCTCTTATCTGGGAGACGTGGTCTCCTGACCCGAGCGCCACTGATTAACAGCGGGACGCGGGGAAGGGAGGCAGCAGGCGGCCGTGGGGGGAGAGGAGGTGCCCGTTGGGCTCGGATGCGGACGGCTTCCCAAGGAGCCGCTCCGGGGATGCCTCGCAGGAGGCCGGAGCTGGTGGCTCTGGAGCAGCGGGCGCAGGGCAGCGATGCACTCCCTGCTCCCCCGGGTGCTGCCCCGGGTTGTCTGGTACCGGAGTTTTGGGAATCAGGTGCAAGTCGTGCAATGGAAGCGATTTGGCGAGCAGGAAGGTGGCAGGGTGAGGAGCAGCCTTTGGGGCATGGGTGGCTTTGCAACCCGCCCGGTGCAGTCCGGGCTGCCACCCCGCTCTGGCCTGGCATGCTCCAGCTGCAGCCTGGAATTGCAGCGTCTTGCAAAGTCCCGCTGGGCTGCGGGAATGGGAAAACCCCATTTGGATCCCACAGCCCCACTCAGCGCCAGACCCTGCTTGCCGGCCAGCTGCATCCTGAGCCGCAGGGCAGGACAGTGGCCGCGCTCCCTCTCTGCCCTCCCGACTCCTCGGCATCCTTGCTCGGCAGCTCCATGTCTGCTGTGTGGCGGAGCCCTTTCCTGAAGGCCCTTTCCCAGTGCTTCCCTGGCAGGGGCAGCAGCAGCCCCGGCTCCGCCGGGATCACACAGCTCTCGCTGCAGAGGAGCCTGCGGCGGCAGCCGGATCCGGCAACCGCGGGCGCCTCCGGCTCGCGCTCCACACCCGGCGCTTCCCGGGGCTCACCTCGAATAACCCCGCGCAGAGAGGATCCAGATGTCAGCCTGGCTAATAAACACATCAGATTTCAATCTCCGCCGCCATGGGATTGTTTCAGCCTCCCTGCGCTTTGGCTTTGGGAAGCGCTTTGCGCTCAACCCAGCGGAGCCTCCTCCCCAGCGCAGGACGTGGGGCCCTCGACCACCGGCACTGGGATCCATGCAAGGAAAAAGCACCTGGGTGGCTGGTGATTTTGCTCCGTTACGGAGCCATTGCCACGCGTGCAAAGCCAACGGGCAGAGCTGAGCATGTGCTGAGGGCTCTTGCTCCACCATGGGCACTGCCAAAGCTCCGGGCATCTTGGGCATCCATGCATCCAAGTGGCCCGTTGGCTTGCTCCCGGGGCTCCCGAGCGGAGCCAGCGGCGCGCGCCCGCCCTCGTATTGGTTACCTGCCACCTTATCTGCGCGCCGAAAGACAAAGGCACCGTTAAAACATTTTAGCGCTGCCTCCATAGTGTATTAACATGTTATCTCACCCATTAAACCAGAGCCTTATCAGATCATCAAAGCCATTAAGCCCTGCCGCTGCTGCGACTTTGGGCGCGGGGATGGGAAGTGCTCCTTCCGCCGCGCCGTGCCCGGACCCCTCGGGACCAGCTCGTTCCCGGCTCGCTCCTGGAGCAGCCCCAGGGCTATCCCGGAATTTGTCCGTCTGCGCTTTGCTTCTCATTCCAAATGTGCAGGAAACCCCTCGAAATATGCATGAGACTCGTGCTGCCGTCACCTGCCCGGCTTTGGAGGATGCAGCTCCGGCTGCGCCTGGGAATGCTGCGGATAAAGGAGCAGGTCTCCACGCGAGGAGGTGCCCGCGGTGCCCGCGTCCTCACGCGGTCCCTGTCTCTCCGCAGACGAGCTGGTGCTGGCCGCGCAGGACGGCGAGGGCGGCGTGCGGGCCCGACGGAGCCTCCCCGAGGGCTTCTCCTGGGGCCCCTTCGCCGGCAGCGTGCGCGGCGAGACGGCGTCTCCGGCGCACAACGAGACGGTAAGAGCTGCCGCGGGGACGGGACGGGGGAGGCCCCGCGGCGAGGAGGAGGCTGGGGAGAGGACGCCGGTTTTGGAGGCCATCCCCATGGATGGAGCCTCGGGACGCGGCTGCAGCCCTGCTATTGAAGCCAGTGCTTGGTGGCCACCCATGGGAGCCTCCTGCTCTGTTAATCCCATTAATACCTATCATGGCAGGGTTGTATTGTGCAGCTCACTAACCGCTTTGCAAACACCCGCTGCAGTCTCCCTGCAAAGCTGCTCGAGGTCCAGGTTTTCCACCCTGTGTTTGCCCCCAGCATCAGGCTCTGCAGAGGGACAGGCGGCACAAGCAGCTGCACTTGGTGCCATTGGTTGTAGGTGACATTTCGGGCCTTGGGGACAACCAGAGTGCTGTGACAGGGCGAGAGGAGAGGACCCTCTTGCAGGGCTGGATTGCATCGAGTTTAGTGCTTATCCCCTGGGGTTTTGCATCGCTTTTGTTGGATGAGGTTGAGCCGGGAGACGGGGATGGCTGCAAAGGCAGAGCGTGCCCGTGTGCATGTGTGCACGCATGTTCATGCATCCCACACAGGGGACGCTGACAGGCATTGCACAGGCTGCAGCGGTGACGTGTCCCACTGCAGGGATGGCCACGTGCTCCCTGTCCATCCCTGGGCTCACAGTCCCTTCCCGGAGCCATGCCAAGAGCGGGGAGCTCCAGCCGGGTCTCCGAGGCTGGAAATCTCGCAGGAAGTCTTGGCTCCGTCCCCACCTCCTCCTCCTCTCTCTCTCTCTCTTTTTTTTTTTAGCTCAGGCCCGTTTATCTTTGCCGAATTAAATCCTTGATTAACCCTTATCTGCCCAGTTGGGCTCCCTATCTCCCGGTTGGCGCCGTGTGTCCAGACACCCGGTACAGGATGATTGATTCCTTAAAGATATGCGCAGCTTTTTTCTGATACTTCATTTATTGTCTAAATATTTTTGCTCCCATTTCAGCAGCTCCCTTATCGAGGCGGGCTGATGAGTCCCAGTCCTGCTTCCCTCCTCCCGCCCTATCTCTGCTTGGGGAACCGAGGCAGGAATCGCAGCCCCATCCCTGATAGGGGCTGTCGCCCTTGGGTCCCTCGGCCGGCGCTGGCAGGGGAGGCGCGGGAGGGCCCCCCCGAAACGGCAGTGCCCACAGGGTCCTGCATCTCCTTGCTGGGCATCAATTTGGGCATGCAGTGGGGGAATTGGGGGCCTTCTTTCCACCGGGAGCATCGCTCTGTGTGTCCCCAAGCAGGATGGGGCTGGGGACCGGCAGAGGGGCATTGAGAGTGGGCAAGGGGAGCAATGAGGGGCATCAAGAGCAGGGCAAGGGGAGCAATGAGGGGCAGCAGGAGCAGGGCAAGGGGAGCAATGAGGGGCATTGAGAGCGGGGCAAGGAGAGCAAGGAGGGGCAGTGGGAGCAGGGCAAGGAGAGCAAGGAGGGGCATCAAGAGCAGGGCAAGGGGAGCAATGAGGGGCATCGAGAGCGGGGCAAGGAGAGCAAGGAGGGGCA